ACCCATGTCAAATAGTCCATCCTCGTCTACACTGTTAATTCCCCTGAGAATTTTATATGTGGTGATCATGTCTTCCTGAACTCTTCTGGCTTCTAGTGACGTGAGGTGCAGTTCACAGCCTTTCCTCATAACTCATGCTTCTTAGTTCTAGGACTATCCTAGTGGTATACCTCTGAACTTTTCAAGTTTCGTTTTGTGCTTGACAAGAAACGGGCTCCATGCTGCAACCGCATACCTCCAGGATTGGCCTTACATATCGTATACAAGATTCTGAAGGATTCTGAAGGTTTCTGAAGGCTGTTCTGATGTTAGCCAGCCACGCATAGGCCGCTGATATTATTCTTTTGATGTGGCATTCAAGAGACGGGTTTAGCGTGATATCAGCTCCCAGATCTCCCTCTCTGTCTGTTTTGTGGAGGACTTCATCTCCCATTCGGTATCCAGTGTCTGGCCTCCTATTTCCTCTGCCAGGTTTCATCACCTTATGTGAGAGGATGGTCTCTCAAGATTCTCCCACAGCTGACATGAATGGCTCATTGCAGTGCATAGTGGACCGATTTCGTGCACAAACCCTATCTCTGTTAACCCTGGATGGAAATCTGTCATGTTGAGTATCTCCAGGATGGCCACTTAACCAGGAATACGTTTATAATACGGAGGCCGCCGTATGTCCAGGCAGGAAGTAGATACAGGGAAGTTAAGCATACTGGCCATAGGGTCAGAAAGTACATTGGCTGGTGCGAAGCGTGAGAGACAGAGGGGACGCCAGCGAGGCGACAGACTGACCTCTGGGGTCAGCCTTATCCGGTGCGATGGAGAATAACAACTGTAACATGGTCGTGACGTGTTCATGACGTCACCTCTGCTACTGATCAGGGAATGATCAATATGATTGGTTCCCGCTCTTTTGCTGCAATGCCGTTGGTCAATTGCAATCCCTTGTGTGTGTCCCACGAGATGCCCTGCATTCTCTTGCAAGAGCATTCACGTGAGTGAGCCCGTACATAGAGGACGTGTCCTGTTCTGTCTATCGACCAATAGACTGAATACCGTCCATTCCTCACCATCAAGTTAAACTCAGCATCTTTGCGATATACCAACGCTCGCCCGGAATCGCGATCGTGACTATATTGTTCAGAAGCCTAGTGACAAATCACCAGAGCGAAACAGACTGGTATCAGGTAACCCCTGGTGACAGCTGGAGATCGTTGTGAGTGACCTAGAGTGAACTAAGGAGTGTCGCCGCCTAAGTAATGTGTGTGTGACTTTTACCACAGTGTACCTGCATGGTATCATATAATCAGCCGCCAGCCGCCACTCGGTCCAGAGCATGCAGCTAGAGCCTCAAGCCACCACCGCCCTGCCTCACTGTACCGCGTGACGTCACCACCTTACTCACCGCCAGTGCCATCAAGTGTGTGCGTGTGTCTGTTGACATACAGCTCGCCATCCTGCGAGTACCCTCCGTGTCTAGTACGGTTTGTGGGAAAGCCTGTTGCCGAGCAAACCAGCTGTCAGGCTACCTACGAGTTCTATCATAAATGTACCTGAGTGAATGAGTGAATAAGAGAGGTAGCCTACCTGTAAGTACAAGATCTTGTCATTGTTTTATTGTGTCTGTCTGTGTTGATCTGAGGAATCAACCACAGTTTTCACCTTCTCATACCTGACACAGGTATAGGTGAAGACACCCGACGGTGTATGCGTGTTTATCTGTGTGGTATCACAACATTCCACTCGTCTGTGATTGTGAGCTTCACATACACCACACATTTAGTATTGTGTGATATTATTATTGTGCATGTTATTGCCTGTCCCATTGACAGTGTATTTGTTGAGTTATTGCATATTATCATTACCCGAGTATCCGGTTGGAACTCTTGTGATCCTTTTGCACACCGGCAGTTAGGTTTGCCGTGTTAATGATTGACTGTCAACTGTGTTAAGTTAGCTGTTTTTCCACGAGTGGATCAGAATCGATTAGCCAGACGTCAAGAGTCTCGCTAATACAACCATAGCCTTTCTGACGCCAATCTAAAGTAAATCAAGCACCCTTTGTATTAGTGGTTAAGTTAATAAATAAACTACTGTTAAGCTTTGTGTGGTGTTTCCGTTGAACCACTTCTGAATACTGCCAACTATTTACTCAAGCCTTCAGCTCCAGGTGTCTTCAACACCGAGTGTCCTATTATTCACTAAATTATAAATGTGATGAGGACCCTAGGAGTCCCTTAAAGTGTTAAATCATTGAGGAGATTCCAACGATCAACGTGGACCAGGACCAGGTGAGGCTAGTCTGAGAAGAGTCCCTCAAGGGCTCTAACTCGACCTTGCTACCAGACACTGTATGGTTGCTCTCATATTTTCTCTGCTGATTCCAACAGCTTCGTGAAGCGTCTGCCACATGTACATTGGCGACGCATTGCAGTCGGGAAAGTAAAATAGAAAACCCCCACACCTTACATTTACTTGGGTTGAACTTTAGTAGCCATTTGTTGGACCATTCCTACAGTTTGTCTGTGTCATCTTATAGCCTTATACTATCTTCTTCTGTCTTAATCCTCCTCATAATTTTTTGCATCATCAGCAAACATTAAGAAGAACGAGTTTATTCCCTCTGGGAGATCATTTACATATATCAGAAACAGTATAGGTCCAAGGCATGATTCCTGTGAGACTCCACTGGTGACGCCTCGCCACCTCAAGACCTCACCTCTCACAGTGACTCACTGTCTTTTGTTGTTTAGGTACTCCAATGGAGTATCTTCCCTTTCGCACCTGCCTGCATCTCCAGCTTGTGCACTAGTCTCTTATGTGGTACTATGTCAAAGGCTGTCTGATAATCCAAGAACATGTAGTCTGCGCAGCCCTCTCTATCTTGCCTGATACGTGTCCCTACATGCCAGGAACACGGGCCTGTAGTTCAGTGCCTCGTGTCTATCACCCTTTTTGTATATTGGGACTACCTTGGCTATCGTCCAAATTTTTGGCAGTTCACCTATTATTACCAGTGATACGATGTACTCCATGGATAGTGACAGGCACATAGCTTCTGCTCCTTCCTTTAGTATCCATGGTGAGATTCAATCTGGGCCTATAGTCTTTGTCACACTAAATCTAGCAGATGCTTCCTCACCTCCTTACTGATAATCACTAACTTCTCTAGTGGTGTCTGGTTAGATATTCCCTCTTTTATCTCTGAGACTTCTCCTTCCTCTACTGTGAAGACCTCCTGAAATTTTTTATTGAGTTCTTTGCACAGTTCCTTGTCGTTTATAGTGAATCTGTCTGCCCCCTCTCCTCCGTTTCATTACCTGTTCCTTCACTGTTTTTTTCTCCTGATGTGGCAGTGCAGAAATTTGGGCTGAGTCCTCGCATTGCTCGCTAAGTCATTTTCATATTGTTACTCTGCCTCTCTTCTCACCCTGACATTTTCATTCCTAGCACTCTGGTATCTTTCTCTGCCCTCTAGTTTCTTGTAATTTCTACAGTTTTCCCACGCCCTTGTACTTAGTTGCTTTACTAGCTTACATTTCTGATAAAACCTTGGGTTTCACGTCTGCATTTAATTTTTTTTCCTTTTGGACTGGGACGAACTCGTCTGCTACCTCCTTACACTTGTGTGTGATGTAGTCCATCATGTCTAGGGCCGTCTTTCCTCTGAGCTCTGTTTCGCAAACAATATCTGTTAAGAATTTCCTTATCTCCTCATAGTTTCCTTTCTGGAATGCCGGCCTTTTGTTTTATGGGCTTTTCCTTGAATACCTAACTCCTACTTTTATTTATTTATTTATCTATTTATTTATTTATATTCAAGAAGGTACATTGGGGTTAACAGAGAGCATAGAGATTAAGTAGATTTTATTTTCTTGTAAAGTCACTAGTACGCATAGCGTTTCAGGCAAAAAGTATTTCGACCAAGTACTCAAACACCAGTATACTGTGATCACTCATTCCCACAGGGTTTCTTCGCAACCAATTTCCTTTATGTCTGAGTCGCTCAGAGTGAAGACTAGGTCGCGTCTCGCTGGTTCATTGTTTTCTCTCAATCTTGTGGGTCCCCTGACATGCTGACTTCAAAAGTTTCTTGTTGCCTTTTCCAACAATTTAGCTCTCCATGTTTCCTCACTACCATGTGGTTCCTTGTTCTCCCAGTCTATCCTTCCGTGATTGAAGTCCCTCATAATGAGCAGAAGGGATCGATTTATACAGGCAGCAGCGGCTACTCTCTCAATTATAGTGTTAACTGCCATGTTGTTTCTGTCATACTCTTACCTGGATTTTCTGTCATTTGGTGTAGGTTATATATCACTGCTACTCCTCTTGGTCCTCCCATCGTCATGGTGCCTGTTAGGAAGTCTCTGATCCCTTCGCAGCCCAAAATAACCATGTGTGTGTGTGTGTGTGTGTTTGCATGTGTCAGAGAAAAATATGTTAAGTAGACATAACAGAGAAAAATAAATTGGTTAGCAAGATGGGGTCCAAGAGCTAATAGCTCGATTATGCAAATACAAAATAGTAAATACACGTGACCACTGGGCTCGCACTTTGCTCCAGAAGACCACATACCAATGATAACATTAACTAAAAACTGTCTAGAACACCAAATACAATATATTTGTAATATTTCACATTTCACTTCACATTTGATTAACTTATTTTTTGTTACTAATTGAGATCTCCCTAGGGTTCGTTATTCCCCTTTAACCCGATGACAAATCCCGACGACGAAAAATCACGAACGTGTGAGTGAGGAGTGAGAGGACACGAGGGACAGTACTACTCACCTGGTGGGGCAGAGGACTGGCGGGTCGACAGTACATGCCGCCCACCTCCACCTCTGAGGGCAGGACAACTCGCCTGAGGCAGAGGACTGGTGGGTCGACAGTGCATGCCGCCCACCTCTACCTGTGAGGGCAGGACAACTCACCTGAGGCAGAGGACTGGTGGGTCGACAGTGCATGCCGCCCACCTCCACCTGTGAGGGCAGGACAACTCACCTGAGGCAGAGGGTTGGCGGGTCGACAGTGCATGCCGCCCACCTCTACCTGTGACGGCAGGAGAGGCAGCGGCATGCTGATACTAAAGTGGGTGTTGATCAGCGCCAGACTCATGTTCCTCTCCAGGTCCAACAGCGGCGGCAGGTCTGGGAACTGTGCAGAGATCTGAGGAGCAGAAACTGCTTTATACCTTACACAGGTCAGACACTTTTCAAGAAACTGATTAATTTCTATTATGAAAATTATAAAATTTGCTCGAATTACAATTGAAAAATACAATTAAAATACTAAGTATTTTTTACCAGTATGAGCTACAGAGCAATTTGTGATCATTAGATGAGTTGTATAAGTTTTTTTTTCCAGGGTTTCCACACCTTACTTCAACTGAGGCTCCTGACTGTAGAATCTTATGAGAATTGGGATCTGCTCACAAATCCCTATAATTGCCCCAATTTGACATAGCTTTGGTTACACAAATACCTAATAAAAATATAAAAGTGATATTGTTCATAGCTGTTATTTAAAAGGAGGATTTTGATGCAAGTGGCTTAATCGCTCAGAATCATATTTGTGAAAGGATGAGTTTGAGATTATTCTTGATATTTTTTAGTTCATCATAGAATATTTACGATTTTCTTTGAATTCTGTGGGAATAACTAAAATTATGGATGAATGCTCTTCTATTTAAATGGTTAATATTTTTGGATAGTTCAAACTTTTTTTACAATAAAAGCACTACATAAAAATATCTGCTTTTAATAGTTTTTAAATTGCACAAATGGCTGGTACCGGACTAGAGCAAATGAACTCATAAAGCAAAATGTAAACACTTTAGATAATCAGGTAACAAGTGCAATGGGTTATAATCTGGGAAGTTTACTTATCAAGTAAACCCTTACCTCTTTTTGTATTAGGGGCACGACGGCCCAGTTCCGCCAGTAAAGAGACGTTCCTATGTGAATCAGCGTGTTGTGGAAACGATTCCAGGCGCTCATTGGTAACGTATAGTTGGATATGTGGTTGGGAATGTAGGCCGGGTTGAGGACGTTGCCCAGGACGGCACTCTGCCGTGGGTCCATCCCTGGCGTGGCGAGGGTGATGAAGGGGATCTCGTGTACGAAGGGATACGCCACCTGCGGGAGACTGATTTGATGGGTCACTGTGGACTTTACAGGAAGGTATAGTTTTATGAACATGAATGAAAGAAATGCTTAGACAATAAGAAGTACATTTCACAGAATAAAATCACAAGAAGGTGGTGTTCATTCATAGTTCAGTCAGAAGGTCAGTGAGTGTGCAGTAGTGCGTGTGCTGGTGGAGGGGGGGGGGGGTCCAGGGCCTGGATTCATAAACAGAAGTATGCAACCACTTACGAAGCCCATACATCTTTCCTAATCATAGCGGTTTTGTTGACATTTGTTAAACAGTTAATGAACTATGAAACTTCGCAATACATGGTTACTATTGTTACACGCACCTATAACATAGCGCTCCGATGCTCTGATTATATTTATAAATATAAACAAATCTGACCGAGAAAAGATACACAGGCATCGTAAGTGACTGCACAAATGCTCTATGAATCCGCAATCCGCAATCCAGATTGCAGGTCCTGCAATCCGGGATGCAAGTTCAACCCATTGTACGGCTTCATTATTTTCATGCAGGCCTTCACATATGACTATCTAGCAACACTTAATAAAATATATAGTTTAAGGTTTGTTTTAAATAGGAATTTATCCTCCACAAATTTATTCATGGTAATAATGAGGATAAAACACAATAAGTTAAGACACTTTCGTTTTAGCCAACTTCGCCAGGAGGAGCAGAGGTTTTCCCATGTTAAACATCTGGATCAGCCTTGGCAGGTGTTGGGGAAGTCTGGTCATAACCACACGTCGTCAAGTGTCCTTGAAGTATTGATACAGTGATCGGTGCTCACGCTATTGATGAAGTCAGAGGTGGTCTTAGCACTTAGTGGTGTTGTCCAAGTTTGAGTTAATGTCAACTTTGTGCACCACCAAGTTGCCACACACACACCTTCCCTGCACAGCAACAAGTTGCCACACACCTTCCCTACACAGCAACAAGTTGCCACACACCTTCCCTACACAGCAACAAGTTGCCACACACCTTCCCTACACAACAACAAGTTGCCACACACCATCCCTACACAGCAACAAGTTGCCACACACCATCCCTACACAACAAGTTGCCACACACCATCCCTACACAGCAACAAGTTGCCACACACCATCCCTACACAACAAGTTGCCACACACCATCCCTACACAGCAACAAGTTGCCACACACCATCCCTACACAGCAACAAGTTGCCACACACCATCCCTACACAGCAACAAGTTGCCACACACCTTCCCTACACAGCAACAAGTTGCCACACACCTTCCCTACACAGCAACAAGTTGCCACACACCATCCCTACACAGCAACAAGTTGCCACACACCATCCCTACACAGCAACAAGTTGCCACACACCATCCCTACACAGCAACAAGTTGCCACACACCATCCCTACACAGCAACAAGTTGCCACACACCTTCCCTACACAGCAACAAGTTGCCACACACCTTCCCTACACAGCAACAAGTTGCCACACACCATCCCTACACAGCAACAAGTTGCCACACACCATCCCTACACAGCAACAAGTTGCCACACACCTTCCCTACACAACAAGAAGTTGCCACACACACCTTCCCTACACAGCAACACGTTGCCACACACCATCCCTACACAACAACAAGTTGCCACACACCATCCCTACACAACAAGTTGCCACACACCATCCCTACACAACAAGAAGTTGCCACACACACCTTCCCTACACAGCAACAAGTTGCCACACACACCATCCCTACACAACAACACGTTGCCACACACCATCCCTACACAAGAACAAGTTGCCACACACCATCCCTACACAACAACAAGTTGCCACACACCTTCCCTACACAGCAACACGTTGCCACACACCTTCCCTACACAACAACAAGTTGCCACACACCTTCCCTACACAACAAGAAGTTGCCACACACCTTCCCTACACAGCAACACGTTGCCACACACCATCCCTACACAACAAGAAGTTGCCAGACACACCATTCCTAAACAGCAACAAGTTGCCACACACACCTTCCCTACACAACAAGAAGTTGCCACACACCATCCCTACACAACAACAAGTTGCCACACACCTTCCCTACACAGCAACACGTTGCCACACTCCATCCCTACACAACAAGAAGTTGCCACACACCTTCCCTACACAGCAACACGTTGCCACACACCTTCCCTACACAACAACAAGTTGCCACACACCTTCCCTACACAGCAACACGTTGCCACACACCATCCCTACACAACAACAAGTTGCCACACACACCATCCCTACACAACAACAAGTTGCCACACACACCTTCCCTACACAACAAGAAGTTGCCACACACACCTTCCCTACACAGCAACACGTTGCCACACACCATCCCTACACAACAACAAGTTGCCACACACACCTTCCCTACACAGCAACAAGTTGCCACACACCATCCCTACACAGCAACAAGTTGCCACACACACCATCCCTACACAACAACACGTTGCCACACACCATCCCTACACAAGAACAAGTTGCCACACACCATCCCTACACAACAAGAAGTTGCCACACACCTTCCCTACACAGCAACACGTTGCCACACACCTTCCCTACACAACAACAAGTTGCCACACACCTTCCCTACACAACAAGAAGTTGCATCTCCAACAACAACAACAACAAGAAATAACCCTCCTCCGCGAGGAAATTAGAAACTGCAAGGCAAGCCAAGACCAACTACAGCATGATTTAAATGATCTCCGTGAGGAAAGCAACCTTCTGAAAACTGATGAAGCCATTAAAAACACAGGAGGAAGCCCTCAACAAAATGACTGCATGTATCAGTACATTTTCAGCCCAGCGTTCTGTCTCCCAGGATGAACAAGACCAGCAAAAGCTGCTAGACTCTGTTATAGTGTCGTCCCAAGATATACCTGTGGAACATGATGGTGAAAACTGTGTCGAAATAGCTCTGGATCTCTTAAGACAAATTGCAGCTCATTCTAAACAAATCTGACGTTATTGCTGCCTACAGAGTAGGCAAAAAGAATCCATCAAGTCAAAACCAACGGAAAATTCGCCTGAAGCTGTCTTCCCAGTTCACGAAATCCAATCTAGTCCGGACAGCTGTAGCCCAACGGAAGGGATTATACATCAACGAGTGCTTGACTAGGAACAGACAGCACCTCCTCTACCGCCTGCGTCAAATCCGTCAAAAAAACCCAGATGCGATTCATCAGTGCTTCGTTAGAGATGGACTGATAAAGGTGAGAAAAACCGCAGAGGGCAAAATGTTCACAATTACTAAAGAAGAGAACCTCAACGCTTTCCTCTCCCAATGTGGTCTGTCTCAGCTCATTATCACTCCCAGTGAATTAACTTAATTAACCCCCTGTCAACTAGTGGGGCTAGGTTTCCTAAGTCTCATTGTTTCATTTTCTGACTTAATTTTTAACTTACTCTTAACTAGTCATTTACTGAAATTATTTAATTGAGTGCATAAATAGTTCTTCAGGTCTTATTAATTATACAGTCATAACTGAACTATTTATAGTTAATAATCATTAGCTTAAATTTGCCTATGCTTATTATTCAACTTTTCTTTGATTCCATTTATTACCTAGGTTGCCTAGCCTCGCCATGCTCCCTTACTCCATTGTACCCCTGACTTTGCCTGCATCTCAAATTGCAAATTGTTACAGTGTACCTGAGAGTACTTGTAAGCAATCTACCTCATTTTTCATTTTTGCTCAATTTGTTTTTGCATTGCTTAGTCTTGTTTATATTTTTGTTTTGTATTTCTATATCTTGTGTATTTCTATATCTATATCACCTCAAACCAATTCTATTTGCTGAAGACACAACCTTCATTTACTCCAGTCCTGATCCACTTGCTCTAAATGCCACAGTAAATACTGAGCTAAATAAAGTCCATCTGTGGCTAACTGCCAACAAACTCACCCTTAACATTGACAAAACCTTTTATATTCTGTTTGGCAATAAATCCTCTAATCAAATAAATCTCAAAATAAACAATACACAAATTTGTAACAAATTAGATGGCAAATTCCTTGGCATTCTCATTGACCACAAGCTTAATTTCCAGGGACACATTCTAAACATATCAAAAAGAGTTTCAAAAACTGTGGGCATTCTTTCTAA